TGTTGGTCAACGCACAACATATAACTGTAATTTTGTCGAATACTGTGACTTTACTGTCACTTGCTTTAACATAGTCTATGGGAATTGTGCTATGAAGAATAGTACATTCTAGACGAAGTAGCCCAATGACTCGCTCTACGTGAATTCTTGAGTCGGCAATACGCCATGTTTTCTCCACTTCTGATCTTCTCCTGTAAGATGAGGTCTGTCACGTCTAATTGTAGGAATAAGAAGTTAAGCCCCAATCATTCCAATGCTGTCAGAAACATCAAATCCCCTGCCTGCCATCACCACATCACCAACACACAATTTGTGCAGAAAGCTACTGTGTTCAACGACATATTTGTCACTTGCCCTGCCACCCCACCCCTCCGATGTAGGATATTACACCCTGTGGTGTTATACCTATCAAATATTTGATTGTATTGTTGATTTATAAGAAGACCATGTTGATGATCGTGCTGCAAGATTTGATGGCCTTTCTAGGAATACCTCAAAACAGTCAATAATCACGGTTATTTTTGACCGAAGTGTGTTCTAAATGACATGGGCATGGTTTCCATCAACTGTCGACGAGCTGGCCAATATATTAGTGGCTTTAACCTCACGTACATGATATCAATCATATTCAAAAACAGTTTGGATGATGTCGACTTATGTACATGAAACTGGTTTCCAAGGTCCATATGGGAAAGATCTAGCCAAAGTCTCATTTGAGTGAGAACCAGTTGCTGAAATTTAGTTTAGTTCAAGAATGTGTGTGGAATATACACTTCGAGAAAATTAAAAAGTGCAACAAGTACAGCAAAACTTGGAAGTCCTGTGTCTTGCCTAACATTTTCATCGTTGTCTTTGAAGAATCCCTTGTCAAACTTGTTGGTGTTGGCAAGCTGCCCTTTCGGTGTTCTGTTTTCTGCCAAAAGTCACTGGAGTTCTTTTTGTGATGCTGACAGAACATTTACCTTCAAGGTCAGTTTGGCAAGCTGCTTTAGAAAGCTTACTTTCACCGTCCACTGGTTGTGTCTCGTGGTTTGACCAGAGCTGTAAGAGAGCATCATGTTTGCGTTTCTGGGCTTGTCTCTTCACATTTCTTGCATACCTCTCTGAGTCTCGAGCGACTGAGCAACTTTCTACCTTGTTGTGTCCAAGCTTAAAGCTGGGTGCCCAATCAGGATTAGAGTATCATAGAGTGTTGATGGCTTTCCTGTGGCGTCAAATAATATGGAAAAAACTGAGTAGAGCTCATAAAATATGGCCAACATAAACACAGTAACAAATTGGATATACCTATTAATTTCGAGGGAAAGATATACACAGTCATCTGTTTACACACTTGACATATAAAATGGGACTGGTCTCAAAAAATGAGTTTCCTTAGAACAGTTGTTTTGAAATTCTCCAGTGCAAAATTTCACGGTCAACCATGGTCAACTGACCATTGATTGCATCTGAATTGCTTCCCCGATGGCATATTTTCGACTGGAAAAAAGTTATTTCTGGGTGTTTTTTACTCATTACATTGCATTGGGGCCTTTTCATATTTTCTAGGATCCACGGCGAATATGAAAGAATGTAGCTGGATGACTTGGAAAGCAGTGTCAGGAATAAGCATGGCCAACTCCTTGCTCTGACATGTCTGAGTGATGTAGCCTTGAAGGCCTACATGTACAGGCACTATCAGGAATTGGGGACGTATACTATTACGGGGTGATATCGAGTTAATTTAGTAAACCAATTTGGATATACACAAATTTTCAAAGTGCACTGAAATTTTGTTAATTTATACAAAGTTACGTGCATTGCTACTTACCAGATATGAAGTGATTGGAGCATATTCGCGTGTACTGCAAGTTTCTGTCACTGATGTTTCTGGTAACCCGTGACAACCATTCCGTCCGTCTTTTCTTTTTAGTGAAAGTATGCAAGTTGCCTTACCTTCTCTTGTCAGTACAGCAGGTAAACACTAAAAAGATTTCTTATCACGATCCCCCCGTTTCCCCAGCCAAACACAGCACAAAAGTTGACCATTTTCAACAAACTACAGTACAAACACACTACAGTTCAAATCTTCCTGCGCGTATGGAGTTGTATACACAGCTGACAAGTAACGGTGGTGACGTGCTCGTGTATGTAATCCAAGATGGCCGATAAACAAAACCGTGACGTCATCGATGACGGGTCTATACTGAGTAAGGAAGCAAGGAACTACGAGGCTTCAAATTACCAGTATGTTTTCATTGTTGAAAAACGACAACTGTGTTTTGTGATTTTTATTCAAGGGTTGAATAAAAACCTTGCCTTGTCATGTGCCGATTGGCAGCCCCCGATAACACTGCCTTGAGCTTGTTAGTTTCGGTAGCCCCAACATGGATAGCTGTAAACAAGGTGCGCCGCATCAATCAAGGGGACTAAAATAATCAGCCAATGACGATACCACATACACTCCATCTGGGGATTCACTGCTTCATTGGCTTGCCTTATATGGAAAGTGGGGGATGGTGTTTATTTGGTGAAATCGACAAGCGGGACTAATGCACACGTTGCCTACTTGACTAGACTAGACTTTATTACAAGTCTCTTAAGTGTAGAAGGAAAACAACGCTTCATTTGGGGTTTGCAGCTTTCACGTAGGGCTGCGGCACACGAATCCGGACTGCAGCGAATTATGAAGAGATATAACGTGTTGAGGCAAGTCTAGAGTGGCAAGTGCAAGATGCATGCTTTGTTTTGGCGGTCAATGGGCTGGGCTATGTGGCTGCGCTGGCTGCATAATGGCGCTATCGATATGTACATGATACATGTACATGAGGTGTACAGCATACATGTACCACATACAGTACGCACGTGTACCAAGAGCCTGCGCACATTTTAACTCCTTAAGTCAGACATGAGCTCTTATTCCTCCATGAGTCAGATAAGTTTTGCAAAGTTCATGCAAATTGACAAAGACAAACATATTTTATTGCCAACTTTGCAAATTCAATGATTTTACATGGACACAATAATGGCAGACATATAAAAACCTTTGACCTTAACTTTGTTATGTTTTTCTTTGAATTACCCGGAACTGGGTGTGACTCGGAACTGGGTATTTATGCAGAACTGGAACCGGTTCTGCAAACGGTGGAACCACCCAAGCGTATTGGATACCTGCCCCGAT